AGGAAGGAAAGACAAAGAGTACAGACTTTGGAGTTAGACAGACTGGGTTCAGGTCCTGGCTCTGTTACTTTCTCCCTATATGACCTTAAGCAAGTTCTTGAGCCTGTCTTGTGGCTTAGGTTCATCATCTGTAAAATGTGATAATAAGAGTATCTATGTCCCAGCGAGTCATGTGGATTAATGATCTTTGTAAAGTCTTACCATAGTGTTTGGCATATAGTAAGTTTCTAATGAAATTAACTATTATTATTATAATGATGACAGAATCTGGGAGACCAGTTGAAGCTATCACAATAATCTAGGTGAAAGCTGATGGAGGCTTAAATCAAGGCAATACAAGTGAGGATGGTTACTAAATGTTTGTAAGCACACTGCATTAGAGATTTACCATTTATACAGGGACATTTTTGAGAGTGGAATGCGTACACATTAATAATGATACTGGGGTGTGGGAGGTATAGCTCGGTGGTAGAGCGCGTGCTCAGCATGCACAAGGTCCTGGGTTCAATCCCCAGCCCCTGCATTAAAAAATAATGATACTAGTACAACAGGCACAGACTGGGAAGTGTGGTCACCCTTCATGCTAGTCTGTTCTGAGTTCCGCTTCTAGATGTCCCTGACCAGCGCCAACAATGCTCAGCTTCTTTTGATTGTAACATACTGAAAGGAAATTTGTTTTGTTTTTATTTTTATTGGAGCCAGGAAGAAACCAACAAACTTAGGCATCCTCAGTTCAGATATCTTTTCCGGTCCAACCTAACTGAGCGTGCACAAGGGAAGAGCGGTCATATTCTTTCTCCGTCACTATTTTACGTACAGTGCAAACTGTACAGAAGCAGGTCCTCCAGCCTTGCTTTGCGGACTGGGTGGCTCAAACAACTCACCAACCTAAATGGCTTTCTTGTGTCTCCAAAACAGGGCTCAGTATCTTTGCCATGTGCTCCCTAAAGGCAGGTAACAAGTCTACCTGTCTTGTTCTCGCTAATATACCCAGCATTTAGTGCAGTGTCTGGCATCTAGCAGGAGTTTGATAATTGCTTACTGAATGCTGTGGTAGTCACTATTCCCCACTTATCCAGAGGTTAGCCAAAGCTCCTGCCCTCTCCCTTCTCTACACAGACATCATGCCTTCCTGTAGGCTTTCAACAGGTCCTAGGTAGGAAGAATCAAAAATCAGTTAGGACTTCCAGTGATGGGTGGCTACCATCATTTGTACCAGAAGCCCTGTCTTCTTTAGCAACCAAAGTCTGCATGGCCAGAATGAGCCTTCACAGCTTTGCATTAACACAGGAAATGGGGCCGGGAAGACTCAATTTCTTGCTTGAGGTAAGTGGGGCAACACAAAGGCATCTCCCAGTTGGTCACCATCGTTCTCAGAATTTCTTTCACTTTGGGCTTGTAGCAGCCCTGACTGTTTCCTCCTCTCTTTGAAAGAGAAAGTTGGCTTTTTCCCCACGCTGTTTCCTCTAGACTGGCTTTCTTGGCTTCACTTGGCTGCTTCAGCATTTCAGCTGAGCAGACAGAACATTTTCCCCACTTATTTCCCAAAGGAGTGAGCTCCTGCTCCTAATCAGTCCTTCCCTCGCCTGGACCCTCCCCCTCCCACCCCTCACCCCTTCCACAGCACAACCCACAACAATTAGGGACTCACTTGGAGGTTTATTGGTGGAAGAACAGAAGCACCTTGTTATAAACACCACCTTACCTCCCCCGTGCTCATTTGGGCCACAATAGGAAAACAGCATTAGAGAAGGTTGTAGCAAGTACACTGAATGAAGCCAAGGAAGATCACCCTGTTTGGCTAGGTGTTAGGGTCCCAGAAAGTTCTCTCCTAGGGAACTGGCTACAGGACCCTGCAGGAAGTGCTCGTTGGAGTTCTCTTGTTCCCAAAGGCTGTGGCTCAAGGCGGCTCTCATGGGTATGTTCTAACGGACTGCAGATGCCACTGGCGAGGGTGTCTTGTCACAGCTGTTGAGATTGTGTATTTTAATGTCAGTGTCGGTGTTTCTGGAGTAGCCCGAGAATTTTGGAGTCATGGAAAGCAACAGAAGAAAAAGAAAGCATTGTTAAGAATCTAATTTAAAAACTATTGTTTAAGTATGTCTTGTCCAGCATGAGTGCGTTGAGCACAGTTGTGAATGAGGAAATCACAGGCAGTGACAACATACGTACGTGGCACAAGGCATCCAAGAGCAAGTTAAGCAGAGAAAACCAAGCAGGAGGGAGGCTGGCGTGAAGGCCTCTCTGCTGCAGTGAAACAGATATCCCTCCAAACCATAAGTATTGCTTTTCTATGTTGAGAACCTAACGTCTTATGATTCGAAGGCAAGACCTGAACCCACTGGGATCCGATGCCCACTATAACCAGCCAGGCGTCAGCACAAGTGCAAAGAAAACCTCAACAGTTCTCTAAAACAATAACTTTAAAAAAATCACAACCACTTATGTGTCAAGAGAAACACACTATGGCTAAAAATTTTTCAATGTTGATTTCAGGTGAAATACAGGCTTATTTTAAATGAAAAAAGAAATTATTAAAAAGCACCAAAAAAGAAAATAAAATCCCTTAACTATTCAGAGATAAGTACAGAGTGTTTTTTTCCAGTGAAAATAATTTTAGAGTTATTTAGCTAGAGATTGGCCATATGGCCTAATAATCTAAAAACGTCTTTGCCACAAAAACCTAGAAATGCTGGATAAAATACAGTCAACATAATTTTAATGCATTGCTAAACTTACAAAAGGTAAAGAAAAAATTCCCAGGGACCAAAAGTTAAAGGCCAATGAGGTGTGAGCTGAAGTTGGGTTGGCCAAAGGACTGGCCAGTCTTGGTGACTCAGGCCTTGGGTTTTCATGGCCATGTGGCACAGGAGATAAAGTCTTGCACCTGAGCTAGGTGGGGAGTTAACTGAGGTATTTGCATAATTCCAGGACTTTCACAGCCACCTTCTTGGCAAAAGGGGATACCAGAAAGAAATCCATCCAGTGTTACAAGCTCATCTGTATCAAGCTGGATTCTAGGTCAAAACAAAATTTCTTCTGAAAATTTTTATCTCTGGGACTGTCCTAATATTGGCTTGAAGTCTGAAATGACACATGGTCCAAGAACTTCCGAACTGAGAAACTAATATAAAAAAAAATTCTCCTTGGGGAGAGGGTATAGCTCATTGGGAGAGTGCATGCTTAGCATGCATGAGGTCCTGGGTTCAATCCCCAGTACCTCCATTAATAAACCAACCAACCTCCCTCCCTCCCTCCTCTCAAAAAAACAAAATTAAAAAACAATTTTAAAAAATTTCTCCTGAGCCAGTAATATCTCTGAGGCAATCGACAGAAGCAAACTTACGATGGTTTTTTGGGGTCAACCCCTGCCCCTCCAGTTTAGGCCAACATGAATTCCACAGATAAAGGCCTGCTTGAGATGAGCTCAGATAAAATATTACAGCTACAGACAGCTCCAGGCCCACAGGATCTGTGCGAGAGGAAGCAGAGAGAAGCAACGGGGCATCTGATGTACCTGTAAACAGGAGAGCTACATCTCCCGCAGGTTCTCGGTAGAAAGTGCAGCAGGCCAATTTGAGAAGAAGGAAACTGGGAGTGCAAGGGGTCAGCGGTACAGTCTTAAGAGATTGGGGAAGTGTGTGCCTTAAAAACTGTCAAAACCGCTAGAACACTCTCTCTTGCAGGATGCAGCAAGGAAAAACCACTGGAAATGGAATCCAAATTGAGTAGGAGGGGAACAATAAAAGCAAAGCAAAGAGAAAGTTCAGCTAAAGATAGGAAAGAGAACACAGCCTGGGAATCCCATACGGTACAAGGCTGTAAACAATTCACAAAAACGACACAAGAGGGAGCTCTAGAGCCCAACCAGAAAGCTACCTTGATCGGCCCCTCCAGAAGTTCGGGAAAACCATTTCACATAAAAATAAACATTAGAAAAGGATCATATTCCGTGGGGAGGATATAGTTCAAGTGGTAAAGCACAGGCTTAGCATGCCCAAGGTCCTGGGTTCAATCCTCAACACCTCCTCTAAAAATAAATAAACCAAATTACCTCCTCCTTAAAAAAATTAAATAAATAAAAATGGGAAAAAATTAACATAAACACTGCTTTAAAAAATACCCATATAAAAAAAAGAAGAGGATCATATTCAAACACCACCCACAATTATATAAGAAAGAGCATATGAAGCATAATAAATCCTTACAGACAATGAATGCATTCTAAGATGTGTCTGCCAAACAAATGAAAACTGCAACCTAGCATTTCAAAATAGTCTAAAAGAAATTAAGACTATGACAGAATATATGAAATAATGATACGTCAGAACTCAAAAGATTTACAAATGTGGTGATAAAACTGAGAAAAGAATTAGACATTTCTAAAGGAAGAACAATTACTTCCAAAACGAAGACTAAAACCAGAAAGAACACAAGAGAAAAGCAAAGCAGATAATTCCTTAAGAGAAATAGAAGGATAAAAGGCGAAGAAGAGTTTCAAGAATAAAAAAGAAAGAAGGTGGCAGATAACTGGCAAAGATGATCCAATATACTAACAGTAAAAGTACCCAAACAAGAAATTTTTACATTAGAATTGAAGTTAAAAAAAAATACTGGGAAGTCCACATAAAGGCACACCATGACCTGGGACAACTGACCCAGCATGGTCACTGCTGGGACCTGCCCCAGAGCAAGGCTACGAAAACACTGAGAGAGAGGATGTGTGGAGAGTCCTTTGCGTAGAGCAGGTGCCTCTTTCCCCTCCAGATGAAGGAGAGAGCCTTCCTAGAACCACCCAGAGGCCCTGAGCAGTACCCCTGGGGGCTGGGAGACCCAGCAGGCCATAGCACAATCCTGCCCAGGAAACGTGGAAGGTGGGAGAAATGGGAGAGCAGGTTTCTTTGATGACAGAGTGAGAGGAGTTGCTTCTGTGTCCAGGAGGCACAGTCCTCTCTCCAGTGGCCGGTCAAAGTCGGAGAGGATGTCTCCTGAGGACCAGATGTGGGCTGTACCAGACAGCGAGCCAGCCCGGAGCCACTGTAAACCCTACCTGAGAGGACTCACTGAAAGGTGAGGGACTCTGACAGCTAGTGCCTGGGTGGCATGGGTGCCTGCAGAGCAAGGGCCTGAGGCAGGTGGAGGCTGGATGGTAGGAAGGTGTCCCAACATCACTAGAGTTGCATTGGGGTGGGGAGGTGTCATGTAGGGGACTTCAGAGAACCCAAGAAAGCTCCTAAGGAAAAAAAAATCAGCTTTAAAATTAGGGAACAGAAGGAGAGAAGTGACAACCCAGTTTCCACTAGGAAGGGCCATCTTAATATGAGGCCAGGCTGAGTGAAAGGGGGCTGATGTGATCAGTGCAGAGTCTGATAATTTTCAGGCACTGGACAGTTAAATATCAGAATGGATGCTGTTTTTGTAGTTTAAAAGGACCAAAAGATCTTTTATATTCTAAGAGGGAGCCCTTATGCTTATGGGGCCTGCCCAAGACCAGCTTTCATCCAGGAGCAAGAGGAAGACGTCTCTCACTGAAAAAAAATTAGAAAGGGAAGGAAAACATTGCATTTCAATGTTCGCTACAAGTTGTACTTGTTCAACGTATTATTTGCTCTATCTTGCTTTTGTTTTCTATCACTTGTTACAGAAAGAATCTAACATAATGACAGTAAATTAGTAAAACTTTGGAGCCAGCAGTGGTCTCCCTTGTGGGTTACTATCTATTCTGTTCATTTTACAGAACAGGTAAGTGAGGCACAGAGGCCTTGAGATTGTCTTACCCAAGGGACCTTGCGAGTTGGGATTGGAGATAATTAGTATCCAACTCCATGAGCCTGCTGTATTACCCTTCTTTGAATTAATTTATTCATCCCTCACTCCTTTTATTGAGCACCTTCCACATGAGGACACTGGGATTTGCCTACAGAATATTCAGACTAATCAGCAACTGTCTATAAAATAGATAAACAACAAGGACCTACTGTATAGCACAGGGAACTATGTTCAATTTCTTACAATTACATATAATGGAAAAGAATCTGGAAAATATATATTTATGTACGTATATGTATAACTGATTCGCTTTGCTGTACACCTGAAATTAACATAAACTACACTTCAATAAACTACACTTCAACTACATTTCAATAAAAAACAAAATTAAAAAATAATCAGCCACAGACACTGCTTTCAAGGACAAGCTAACAATAAAATTAAGGGGAAAAATCACATGCAACAGTCTAAAATGAAAAGAAGGAGCTGAGATAGGTAGGCAGAGGGTGTCACTGACCACCCCCGCCCCAGCCCACCCCCATGGCTCAGTTCTGCAGGAACAGGTGCTGGAGCTACCTGCATGGAGGACCCACCTGTCTGCTGTGAGCTGGGACCTTCCTGAGAGATTCAAGAAATTGTCACTGGTCTGTTCGGCTGCCAACATCATGGAGCTTCCGCTGGGCTGGGAGAATGACGGGAGGCTGCTTTCAGACTGGGTGGAGAAATTTACAGTCAGATGACCAGGTCTGCTCTCTGATAGTTCTTAGCTTCTTCGGGCCAGAACTTTGAAGAAACTCACTTGAGTCTTCCAGCCTAGTCCTGGGAACCTGTTCCTTAAACATTAAGCCCTAGAATCATCAGACCAAAAACGGGGCCCTCCTAGCACAGTCACCCCCTCTCTCTGATGGGCTGCTGTGGCTACTCTGCCCAGAGCACAAGGTCTGAACCTTATGAACCAGAGCAGCAGAGCTGTAGGAGCTGACTTTCGAGGTCAGTGATAACATACCTAAAGTACACCACTTAAATGAGATGAGGAAAGGGCTTAGATTCTGAAATCTGAAGGTTTAAGGCAATCCAATCTATTAAGCTTTTCCTTCCTGTGTTTCTACTCTAAGCAGGTACTGGGAAAGCCTTCTGTGTATCAAAAGAAAAAAGAACCCTTAAATCAACTGAAAGGGAAAAGTAAATCCTTAGGGAAAATACTTGCAAAAAATTGTCATCAAAGGCTTAAAATTTTTGATGTATAAAAAGCTTTGTTTTACAAATCAATTTAGAAAAATGCAAAGCTGCCAATAGAAAAATGGCCAAAGAACATAACAGACAATGCAAAAAAAAAAAGTAACAATGTTCAAATTCATTGAAAATCAAAAGATACGCCATTTTTTTTAACCTATTGTATTAGAAAATTAAAATTCATACTTCTCAGTTGAGATAAGGATACAGTGACGCAGACATATTATTTGAGACAGTATAATTTGGTACTTTCCAGAAATAATATGGCAATATGTATCAAGAACCTTAAAAATGTTCATATCCTTTGAATTCTGCTTCTAAAAATCTGAGAAAACAATCAGAAATGTGGATAATACATAAATGCTTGTTTCAGCATCAATTACAATAATGAAAAGTTAGCAACAACTCTGAGTGTCTGATATTAGGGGAATGGTGATGTAAATTTTAATTCATTCATACAACTGAATAGCATGAAATTATCAAAATGATGTGCATAAAGAGTATTTAAAAGAAATGGGGAAATGCTTATGATATAATCTAAATGGAAAAAATCGACATCCAGAAATGTATATATATTTAATGCTTTCAAGTATATAAATTAAAAATTAAGATGAAAGACTAGAAGGAAATATGCCAAAATGTTCCAAGTGATTGCTTAGGGCTGGAGAGAAGTGGGGGTGATTTTTCTGTAATTTTCTGATTTTCTTCAGTGAGTATTATTCCTTTATAACACTGAAAAAAAAAAACCTAGCAAAAACCAGAAAACAATTTTTAAGTGAGTTAACTATTTGATGGCTCTTTTTATAGGAAAACAAAATTGATTTGCTTTTTATGTTTGTAGACCCCAATATGGTGTGTGCATATCACTGACCTTGAAAAAGAAGTCTGTCCCCCCACAACACTAGGCTCTAATATCCATCAATTCTCAGGAGGCAATATGCCTCCGATTCCTTGCTTACTCTCTACAGATCTTGGTGAAACTTACTGTTCCAGTGGAGCTGCAGGGCAACTTGGGCACCAGGCAGTGAGAGATTTGGATTCTCGGGTCTTTGGTGGTGATGGACAGACCTCTCTGCAGAATTTTCACCAAGCGGATCCAGAACTGAAACACGGCCTCTGGGTGTTTTTCGTGGAGCCTCAGGTAGTAGATCTTTTCAGTCACTGTTCTAACCCTCAGGATGCGTTGGAGCCGGTCACAGATTCGTAGCTCCACGTACTTCAGGGGGAGAATCCTGGACACAAGCAGGAGGTGCCAGTGATTTTAATCAACCATGCTGGTGCCTCCCTAGAACTTGGGTCAGCCTCACTAGGCTCCCACCTCTGCTTGGGGGACTCCCAAGGGAGAAAGCCTGAGGTCTGGGAGTGGGAGTGATCACTAAGATGGACTCTTCTCTGATTTCCAGGGCCTGAGTTATTAAGGAATCTGCCCACATCAACGACAGTGGCTGATAGTTGACATATAATATCTCATTTAAACCTCACAACAACCCTTTGATGAAGGAAAGCTAAGTAATATTAATTCCATTTTCCAGAATTTGAAACCATGGCTCAGAGAAGGTAAGTGATTTGCCCAAGTTTAGATCTTCTTAGGTAGGAACCGGAACTAAGGTTTTCTGACTCCATCTCCAGGCTTCCCTCTCCCTAGATCCTGATTAATTGTGTTGAAAGAATAAGGGGAAAGATGGAGATCTTTTAAACAGCCAGTAGTTTTTATTTTTTCAATCTCAACACCTCATAATCCTATTTGACTTCATATCACTCATCTTTTTTTTTTGAAAATCTCTAAGTCTATATTGACAAAATAAAAATAAACAAAAGGAAGCCAAGATCCTCAAAAACTATACAGGGACTGGTGCTCTACACGGCACCAAGCACAGTGCTTGGTACATGTAGATACTAAATATTTGTTAAATGAATGAATGAACTCTACATAATTTATACACTAAAGAACACTATCCTTTCTTTTCATCTGAAGTCCAGCTGCAAAAGAATGCAGTCATTCATCCCACCCCTTCTGGCCCCTCATTCAAGCCTTTCTTTACCTGCTGAGGGTGATGACTGGGGCACTAGCAGGTGTGTTCCAGGTGGACAACTGACCCTGGGGCCAGGTGACATTGGCCATCAGGAGGACGTTGGGGAGTGGCAAGGAGGGCACCGAGGAGGTCACCCCCAGGATCACAGTGGTAGACCCTTCACAGACATCCATCCAGTTCCCCGGCTTAGTGACCTAGAAGTCAGCCCCAGGCACGTGGGTCAGAAAGAAGCAGAAGACAGGAGTGGAAAGATAAAGGTGCTAGAAAATGGCACCTCAGCTTGTCAACAGGCTTGAAGCTCCTGTGCTTCCTGCAGGTTCGTGGCACACCGGGCTACCCAAAGAGACAGGTTCTTTGGCAACAGGAATATGGTGCTGCCCTTCTTCATGTCCTTTGCATTTACTAACTTTCAAAGGATGCACTGGGGAGTGGGGAGGGATAAATTAGGAGTATGGGATTAACATATACACACTACTATATATAAAATAGACAAACAACAAGGACCTATTGTATAGCATGGGGAACTACATTCAATATCTTGTAATAACCTATAACAGAAAAGAATTTGAAAAAGAATATATATGTATATGTATCTGAATCACTTTGCTGTACAAGGGAAACTCATGCAACATTGTAAATTAACTATACTTCAGTTTTAAAAAATGTTTTAAAAAAATGATGCACTAGTAAGAAAAAGCTGAGTGGCATTGAAATTTCATTCCTCCATCCTTGGGTAGAAGAAGCCAGCACAGGTTTCTAATGGTCTGGAAAGGAGGGTGTGCAAAGAAAGTTCCAGAAGGGGAGGAGAGTGAGGAAAAAAGCTGTTGAATGGGGAGGACTCAGGCAGCCCAACTTGAGGGAGGTTTGGGGAGCTTCCCCTAAAATGAATGAGGGCATGGCTTATTGCTTGGTCTTGAGTGTAATAAGGGCCTGTTCTCTTGCAGCACCCAGGGCTTTGGCAGGACAGGAAGACTGGATGCCTGGTACTGGGTCCCAGTGTCTCACCTAAGAAGCACCAAAGCCGTAGCCTTTAAGGAACCACAGGGACCAGGGTAAGGAACATCTGAGGGGTGATCCCTATTTTCCCAAGACCAGAGGGCCTTTTCACAATGTCCTAGACTTTGTAAGATCATCAGGGCCGTTTACAGTCAGTGGTGGAACTGGGGACAAGGGGAAGGCAAGCCCCAGGAATGACTGAAACGTAAGTTTCTACAAGCCTGAGTAGATGTTGCTCCAAGAAAAGTGAATTTTGATTTTGGGGAAAGAAACACCATTTCTTGGAGCCCATGTTGTGGAATGAAATTCCTATGTACTCCAAAACACAGAGGGCTGCACACATTGAAAGTAAGAGATAAATGTTTACAGGTGACAATAGTGGTGGTGATGCTGAGGAGTGGGGAGGGAGGGAGCAGCACGATGATGTGGGTCAGATCGTTTCCAGTCAACTCTGCCTGGGCCAGCTTCAGCAGGCACGCTTCCCCCCTCACTGGCACAGTCTGAGTTTCCTGCTGCCTGAGTCACTTTGTATCTAACTGGAGAATCTAAACAGTTGTCATATTAGGCAGCAACGGGAACATGTTAAGAGAATAAACCTACTGCCAAAGCATCCTACTCAAATAGACAGGACTAGAATTTTGTATCCTGAGTCTGGATTTCCCACATTCCTGCTCCTTCTCCTCTGAGCATGCCCCCAGGCTGCCAGCTGATTGCCCAACTGTGCAGCTCCCTGGGGTAGTGCAGGGATCAGGGAGCACCTGGAGCCATGAACCAGCTCTCTGAAATCTAGGGGACCTCATCAGAGAGGAGCTCGCTGCTCTGTGAAAGGGTCTCCAAATTAAGCCCAGTACCCACCTCCAACCTCCTGTAACTTCTTACCACTGTTCAACTCCACCAATTGGTACTGGAGACCCTCTCTGTGCGTTCCAGCCTCTTGCCTTCACCCAGGAACTTGAAGTCCCTCTGCCCAGAAGGTTGTCCCCCTGCTCTTCCACTTACCAAAGTCTCAGCAATACCTCAAAGAATGGCTTAAGACCTGTCTTCTGGGAAGCCTTCCACAACTGCTGATGTCTAGGGAATGCTCTGCGCACGCTTTAGAGACCAGCTAGTCCAAATCCTCTGACATAGAGCTTTCATAACATGCCCTTTGAACCTACAAATTCATAAGCTTCTCTGTCAGGGACACTATCTGATCTCTTTTTGCATCTCTTGCCTGCCACATAGCTTGCTGACTAACTGGTTATTGCCATACCCGCAGTGGGGCAGAGGTGTGCAGTTTCCAGCCAGACCACTAGAGGGGGGTGGGCAGCCCCTCGGTAGGATGTCAGCAGATTGAAATGACCGCCCCCCACTCTCCATAAAGCATGGTGGCTCCATGCATCCCAGGCCATAAGTTCTCACTTCCATAGTCATATCCCTACTCTTCTGGGGGTGGTAGGATCTGGGCAAGGCTGATTTACGCAGGGGTCTTGCTCTCAAGCAAGGCTATTTATAAACCATCCCAGAAAGAAGGAGGCTAGGCTTCAGAGAAGGGATTCTGACAGCTGCCTTCATCCCCTCTAACCAATTAGTCTGGACCAGCAGCCCCAGGAGAATGCTGATGGACTTGGCCTGGAGAGTGGGCTCTGCTGTCTCCTTCTGTAGGTATAACTCTATTTCCCAAAAGCATCTGACCTGCAGGGAGCCCTGTGATACTGTAGGCACAAACTGAGGCGAACCTGGGATCCAGACCCTTTCATTTTCTCTGGCTCTACTGGCTTCTTTCTCCTCCTCAGGGCTTTTGGATCAATCCCTGGGAACAGGCTGTGGAAAGGGAAGGTGAGCTGGCCCTCAGCTGCACAAGGGTACCTGGATAAAGTTGCTTTCAAACACCACTGAGTCGGAGAACAGGTTGAATTCTGGAGAATGAATTAGTTGACAAAGAAGGCCATCTTCCACCCCAAGTTCCACTCCAGGGCCTGGTTCCCTGACCTCTGGTGGGAGGCCCCTAATGGTACTCATTGGTTCTTGGGAAGTATGGGCTGGGGAACATCTCTGGGGCTCCACGCAGACCCAGCCCAACCTCAAGGTGTTGGTGTGACCACTACTCCCCCTACCTCCACAGCTCCACCTCCCCTCCTGACTTACGGGCTGTCCACCAGGCCGGGGAGGGCCTGTTGGCTCACAATGGCAGGAATGACATCAAGGAATGTGATGGGTCACAACAGGAAAGGAAAAAAAAAAAGAAGAAGAGGCAAGGAAGGATTGGAGGTGAGCAGAGTGTTTTTCTCCCCTTTCCCACTCACTACAAACTAGCAGTAATGTAGTCTACTCCATTTTTCACTCAGTCTCCCCTCACACTTGAGGAAAATGATGCTCCCAAGGTTATGTCAAGACTGCAAGCAGGTGAGCAGGTGGGAAGAGCAAAGGGAGGCTCTCGGGAACCCACAGCCTTCAATCCTCCCCACTCACAGCAAAGGAAGCCTCTTGCAAAACCTTTCTCTGTAAGTGTGAAAGGCTTGCCTAGTGTCAGGCCCTCACTGGGCCAGGGGAGCTCAGGATGGGGGCAGCAGTTCACCCCAATCCTCCCTCCCCCATTTCATGGGAGAAAATAATACCAAGCTATTGACAAAGCCAAGAGGCTTATTTATTTGGAAACTGTGAGCAAATGAGGAAATGTATTACAGTGGTATGCTGGAGCACTGCAGAAAAGATCATGAGAGCTATCTAAAATTTTCAGGATTTTAAAGAATCAGTTGTTAGACACAGCCATTATTAAACATTTAATTATAGAAACTTACAATTAAATAAGTTATACAAAAAACAAAGGTAATAAATACCCAAACTCATTACTTCTTAGTTGTCTTACTACATTTGACATCTCTCTATTCCCTTGAGGTTGTTTGACTCTATCGCATCTACGTGGTAGAAATACTATATAATGTTGGGCTACCACTACCTCTCTCTTCTCAATGTGTACACTGGACCTTCGTGGTGGTCTGTGTCTTGACACCAGCCATGTTGGGAGTTATTTACACCATGGAAATCAGTCAATGCTACAAATTGGGCCATGATTTATTGTTATTTTGATTATCTAAAATGACAGAGAAAAAGCCAATGATGCCAATTGAGAAGTGTGTCTATAGCTATTAGATTATGGGCACAAAAAAAATCTGAGCAAATAATCTTCCAGTATTTGAAAGGTATTATCTAAAATAGCAAAGAAGTTGCTTGTCATTAATGAACAGATAAAGTTTCAACATGAGACTTTGTTATTTCATGTTTCCCTTAAGTTTAAATGAGCATCATTTTCCTCAAGTGTGAGGGGAGATTGAGTGAAAAATGGAGTAGACTACATTACTGCTAGTTTGTAGTAAGTGGAAAAAATCAGCCGACATTCATGTTGGAACTACACTGACTTCTCAGTTACACAGGTTAGCTAGGAATATAAAAGTCTGACAAAAAGCTATGAAAGCTTTCTGTGAGAATCAATTAGCTATCTGGAAGTTACAGTAAAGAGTATTGTACATTCTACTATTAGCTGTTAATTGTGTGCTATACATAAAGTAAATTTTAAGTAAAATTTTATAAAGTAAAATTTATTAAGGAAAAAAACATGTATACTTGTATGTTATTTATATATGTATACATATACATACTGTGTGTATGTATACACACACACACACACACACACACATAATTTCCCTAGGATAGCTAGTTGTTGAACATTTATTAGCACACCATTGTAGTGGCGCCAACTGCTCTTCTCCTGCTGCAATCTCCTATCCCTGGTACCAGGACAAGAAACTTTCACTTAAAGACTTCTTCAGATTGCATGAAGTTGAGGAGGGATGAGCCATTGGTTATCTTTCTCAGACTTTGGCTGAACAGCTACCAGGCTCTCTCACTTTGGTGATTATTCAAGGAGCAAGCCAAGGGGTTAAGTCAGATCTCTGGTCTTTTAAGCTCTCAGGACTCGCACTGCTACAGTCCCCCCATGACTGGGGTTAAATCTCCTGGTGCTTCTGTTATCACTGGGAGGAAAACTTGCTTCTCATTATTTTCCCAGAGCTGGTACATCAGAAGCAGGAGCTTCTATCTCATTAGCTTACTTCTTAAGATTTGCTTATTAGAAAATTTTTGTCTTTTTCATTGATACAAAGTCTAAAAGACCAGGAATTTAAACATTCACTCTTCAAGGTTATTACTTTTGCTTTCTTATCATAGTGCTCTCTGTTCTTGACATTTTTTTTCTCCTTTTCTTGTGGAAAAAATAGAAGGAAATTTCTCTTCCAATGTTTGTAACATAAACTAAAAATTTAAATGACACAGAGACCATCAGCATGACCCCACGTGCTAGAGCACCTCACTTGTGTAGTAAGTTCTTGTTTTAAATAAGTAGATTTCTAATCAGGAAACGCTAATATGACAGTCAATTCACAATTGCTTGCTTCTTGGTTTTTGCCAGAGACTTAAGGTTTTTAAAGGTTACAATTATATGTAATTAAAGCTACTAAAATAATAAGGAAAATATTTCAGTATGCTAAAAAAGTAAGATTGTGTTTTCAGTAAAAAAGTTTCACGGAAAAGAAATACAGAGAAAATAGTTTTATGCATAATTGGGATTTTAAGTATTTAACAAATTCTAGAAGTTCTTTGTAGCTCCAGCTAACTTTGAGATACCTTAAAGGAACCCTAAGGCATCTTAGATATTAAATTAACTAGCATTATTTGGTATGTGAAGTTAAATATAATCGATCATAATTTTACTAATTGTAAACAAGTCTCTTTGTTGATTGCAGGTGTTTAACCATGCCTTTTAAGTCTTTCGTCATTACAAACAGTTGAACTGTTGCTAAAAGGTGCTTCATCTTTAGGAAGACTTTTGGGTAGTCTATGGAAACAGTGGGTTACAACAGTCCCACACAGGATGATGGCTATGCAAGGATTCCAGCCCATACCACCCTCTGATGCAAAAACAAAAGGCTGTCCTGCCACTGGGGCACCTAGATTAGGCATTCAGAGAATTGTTTTACTCCCTGATAGGCAGGGTCAATGCCCCTGCTCAGCCCAGAAGTAGTTTCAGAAGAACTACCAACCCGTTGCCTCTCTGCACCCTGCCCCATAAGGTTATGGGAGTAAAATCTCTGAGAGGGGAATGAGACAGGAGAGAAGGGGGCATTCAAAGAATGACACAGCAATTAACACCAAAATGGTGGAAGAGTCAACTTCCACTAGACCTTGAAGCTCAAGATGGCAGGAGATTTGACTTCTAGTAGAACTTGAGCTTAATTAGAAGCTCATTGTAATACATTAGCATGATAAATAACATGCCCGTAGACGCCATGACAGTTCTAGGGCTAACCATAAAAGGTCAAAGAATGGGCAGTGGCCCAATTCCTGGGAATCCCAGCCCCTTCCCCAGGGTAGTTGGAATGGCCCTTCCACTTGTGGGCATGTGAAGCTACCAAGCTAATAAAAACTGGCAACACCACGCCTCATGGCTTCTCTTGCTCCCTCATATTCCTGCCCTGTCTATGGAGCGTGTATCTACTTCTACTTTAACCTGAGCACCCAACCCACACACCTCGTGGGCCTTCTCTTGCCTTCTGAAACAGCCTACACTCTTTGTAGTATGTATCTCTCTAAATAAATCTATCTTTATTCAAAAAAAAAAGTAGAATATTCACTGCAACATTGGTTGAAGTGAAAAAAAACCACTGGCAATAACTTAAATGTCCATCACAGTTAAACTATGACACAAATCCTAATCTTAACCATAACCCTAACCCATATGATGTAATATTTTGCAACCATTGAAAGAGTAAGGCAGCCTTCTATATACTGATATGGAACAATTACCAAGGCCTCTTAAATTAAAATAAGATGAAGAACAGAATATATATAATATGCTACCACTTGGGTAAGAGGAATTTTAAAAGAATATACACATTCTTTGAATATACTTGAATATGCCCCAAAATTTCTGGGAGGATAAAAATATAGTTGCCTTAGGTGGGGTAGAGCATTGGTAATTGTGGTGAAAATGCAGATTTATTTTTCACAGTGCATGTATTTTTATGCTGTTTGAATTATTTACCATGAGCATGTATTTCCTTTTTAAATAAATTTTAAAATAAAAAGTGTTTAAAAATAAAAAGTATTAAAGAAATATCCTATATGTGGCTCTATGACTACTTACCAAGAAGCAACTATGTACAAGGTATGCCACATACTGAAAAAATCATTACTAGCTCTGAAAGTAGTCTGATCAGAGTTGCGGACATGTGGTCAGGGCTGTCTTGAACATGACTCTTTACCTCCTGAATAAAGATACATATTTGAAGAAACAAGGGTGGGACTATATTCAAATACAATAAAAAGTATAAATGACATCTATACAAAGAGTAAGAGCACTAGAAATTATAAAAAAAGTAATATTTAAAATATATATTTAAATATACATTATATATAATTTTTTAAGGTTCTTTAAATAATTGTTTAAAAATTACAACAATGTAACAGGTAACATCAAGTTTAGAACACATGTAGAAGTAAAATACATGACAAGAATGTCACAGAGGATGAGAGGGGAGAAACAAAAATGTACTGTTGCACAGCTCTGACACTATACATGAATTAGTACAATACTATTTGAGCAGCTAAAAAGCAAGAAAATTATAAAAATTGAGAAACCTGTAGCTAGTGGATCTCGAAAGAAAGAAAGAAAACACAATTGCCAATCTGGAAAAGAGGAGATATCACTACAGAGCTTGTGGATTTTAGAAGTATTATGAGGAAATAGTTTTAACAACTCAATGCCAGTAAGTTTGGCAACTTAGATGTGCTATATAAATGACGTCACATAGAAATTACTAAAACTGCCTTAGAAAAAACTTTGACTTAAAAAAACTGATTTAGGAAAAATCAAATATATACATTCATCAAAGACACTGAATTTATCTTACCACAAATAAAATTCTAAGCCCATATAGCTTCACTGGAAGGGTCTATCAAATATT